AAGGTGATGCCACACGCAGAAACCAAGGGAGGATCATAGCCTCCTCGCAAATCTGAGAAGCAAGTCTTACCAAGCTCGTGACACCAGGTGCATTGGAATATCCCTTTATCAATCCAAATCTTGAAACATCATTGTCCAGGCAGAAAACAAGGTGCTGCGAAAAAATGACTGACGACCAGATTCGCATCGCCATGACAACTGCGAGCGTTTCCAACTCAGCAATGGCATTTCTTGATCCTTAGTCATAAAGGGTTCGATGTGTTCTGGTTTCAGCTGCATTTGGAACCATTGCTCGACTTTGCCGTCGGGACTGCAGAGCACACCCCCTATACCGCCATTCAAGGTTGGTTCAAAACTGGCGTCAGTCAAAATGAACCTAGTATGTCTGGTCGCCATGTTGATCATCCTGGGAAGGCTGGCAACCAACCTGTCTCGAAAAAATTGTAAAGCATTGGTCAATTCATCACTGATTTTCGCTCTAAAAGGCTTGGCATATATATGATCATATACAGACTGTAAAACGTATTTCGCTGACAGCCCAAAAATCTGCCCATGCGCGAAAGCAAGCTTGCCATTCAAAATCTGACCATCTTTGTATTGCAAAACACCATCCTTCAGTACGGTGGAAATAATGTCCATCAAATCTTTCTTGCGTTTTTCAGTGTTCATGACTTCGACCTGTCCAGAAACAGATTTGGATAGGTCAATGACAACTCCCAGTGAGGAAACAAGCTCGGAAAATGTGTCCGCCTTGGGCCCCTCCTTGTCGTAGGCCCATCCGAGAAGTTCAAACAACAAGCACATTGATGATTCACTGCTCTGCTGCAACTGCGGAGGTGAAGCAACCACAAAATCGTCATAATAACATGTAGTTGGCAAGTAAAGACATTTGCAAGCAAGCCACTGTATACACCTTGAGCAGCGAATGAAAGCGTTCACTGCCGCTTTGGAGCCAAAAGGCAGACACACTTGAGCAAAGACTTCGTTGGTCTTTTTGTGTGGGTTGTAAACACATATGTATGAGAAAGGTTTGGATGTCGGTGCGACACAAAGCTGACGGTAGGCTGCTGCTAGATCAAAGGATCTTGCCCGCAGCACAGTGCTCTTGCCACGCTCTCTCAAGCCTGCCATTAACTGCAGTAGCATTGCACAAATCACATCCACATTGTCAGCTGTAGCCTGATCCTTTGCAGTGACTGTCGCATTCACTGAGCTCATACTGTAGTCATCTATAGGCCGCAACTTCTCGCCTTGCTGTAAGCCAAATCTCTTTGAGACAACTGCATTGCTTTCCAAGTCAGCCCATTCCAAAGGTCCACGTAACCAGCCCTTGTCCACCTCATCCAGTGTCTTCTGATAAAGTTTTGTGTCAAGGTCAGGATCTCCGCTGGAAGCATTGGACCCCTTCAAAGCAAAACGAGCTCTGGCCGCGTTCGAACTCAACTCAGCTACTGCCATGGTAGCTGGTACAAACTTCTGAGGCAGGACTCCACCTGACTCAGGCAACTCGCCAACAAGGTCAAAGCCTCTCTTGAGGTCATCCACAAGGCCCATATCCGGGTAGGATTCATCCCGCAAGATCTTATCCAGTAGCGCGATGCGTTTTGTAGACATAATGGCCCGCATTGGCGTAGGCATCGCTGATAATACTTCGTTTTCTTCGTCTCTCAAGGATTTTGCAAGCGGCAAATATTTACCAAACCATCTGCACCTGTGGATGACGATGTCATGGTATGACAATTGAACATTGGCATCAACTGCAGTCTGCACGGCCTCAGACATACCCAAAACCAGATGTTGTGGATGCCCAGCCATTGCCACCTGAGCCAGAAATCTCTCCGGTGACCAATACAAGCCAAAAATAATCTCATCAGCTTTGACGGTGCTGTCACATTTTACGTGGACAACTGTCGAGCACCTGTTGCATGTCCACACACCGCCACCATCATTATCCAATTTGTTGGCAACCAGGCCTTGCGTAGCATTGGCTTTCAGTAAATCCAATGATACCGTATTGCAGTTGTCAGTCTGACCTGTTTGCCCAGCGCCGACACTGGAACACCCCCCTTGAGGAGTGCGGCGCAACATTCGGGATTGGCATGGAATCAAAATTTCAGTATTTTCGGCATTGTCACATTGAAAAACATGGCATTGCAACGTGTTCCGCTTGGAGTCAAGTGAAAAAGCCGCATCGTGAGGTACATGTAAAATTTGGCGTACATTCTCAAATTCTGGGACCAACTGTGGCATACGCTTGGGTTGCTGATTTGTTACTGTTGCTGCAGCCCTCGCAAGCTTGATTTTCTTTGCTAAATCAAGTGGTCCCCAGCCATGAAGTTGTTGTAAATGCTCCGCTACCCCACGCACCAGGGCTTCACAAAAGCTCCGTGGATATTCGGCTTCCAAGGCAGTGTCAAATTGTCCATTGCGGAATTCGTAAGGTGCATGTTCATGTAGTCCATCACATAGCATTGCATGAGCATTAACATTTGCACAGTTTGTGGCGATACCAGTCTTCTTTAATCGACGCCCTCCAAACATACACATGTCAAACTGAAAGAAGAAAACCTGTGTCTGACTTTTTATTGTCTGAAAATAGGATGTCTGCCAAAGCCAGCTCCGGAGGGGATTCTCTATAGTCCAAACTGTTGTGGATGGCAAACTCAAAATGAGCTTCTGCATAAAGTGATACAAACGGTTTGCAGCTCTAAGTCTGTCCCGTGAATTTTGGTTAAGCAAGTGTGGGGGAAGTCCATCTGGATATTGCTTCGACCTCATTGGTCTGGGCCCAAAATGGGCCTTGGACATCCTGCGTTCCCTTGCTCTAGAAGCGGTGCCGCATGGTACCCCAAAGTGAACCCATACGCACTTGGGATCTGACGCCCACTGCATGACCATTTCTTGCACTTCAGGTTTCTGAAGGTCAAGGCAAATCACCTGGCTTTTAGGATGTTTCACTTTGTGATCAATTCCAGAACTGTCAGGTAAAAGGGCCCTGATACACGCAGTAAGGCCGGCTGTCCCACAAAAAAGCTCTATACCGAAACAGCCATCAAGAGGGATACTTCTCGGAGAGGGCAGTGCTCCATCATTAGTTGGCATCTTGGGCTCAACATTGTTCAGAAAGCATTGACTGGATTTCCTTTTGTATCCTCTGCCATCCTGTTTTCAATGACCTTCGTGTTCAGTCTGTGGATGGCTCTTGTAACACCCAGGAACACAGCACACGTGTTCCCTGGGGCATTTCTTGTCTTTGCACTTGCCCAAATTAAAATTGAAACAAATCGCCTTGCCCGCCGGTGTCTTGTGATGCATCCCATGTAACTGCTGCGGCATTGGCTGACGCTTGCCTTTGCCACCTGCCTTGCCTTTTGGACTGGGGTTACCTCCAGGCTTGGTCACCGGCTTCTTGGTCTTTGTATTGTTCGGGTCAGCCCTTCTGTCATTGTCTGACTGACGCGTCAATGGCACAGGCAACATGTGATATGTAACTGTAACATCATTGTGCAACTGGTCAAAGGCCAAGTCAAGTGGCAAAACACCTGCTGCGTTGACATGAAAAGGTGGTTGCACAGTCTCTGCCAACCTCATGAAGGCCTGCCGATCTGCTCTAAGGAGCTGAGCATGTCCTGGCTTCGAAAAACCTGGTGCTGGCGCTTGTGTCATCAGGGTAAACATGCGGTTGACAAACTTCATGACAGTATTAAAAGTAGCAATACCCACCAGGTCCATCGCCAGTGCACGGCGAGTCATAGCTTGCAGCAGGCTGAGGTCACTTCCAATTTCTGCTTCTTGTTCTTGCTGTTTGTCCTTTACAACCAAGCTGCTACGAGTCTCATCCAACTTGATCTGCTTATCTGGCCTCTCACCTGCCAACTCCTGCTGACGAGTCATGCACTTGCCAGGAGCTATATATTTGAGTTCACCTGTCTCAAGCATGGCTGAAAATTGATCATACAACCAGTGACTCGGTTCCATAGGCCCCGACAGTTCCAAACCTTGAAGTCGTGATCGTTGCGCTTCCAAACGCGCTGATCGCTCAGCTGGTGCCACCCTTTTTGTACTGGCATCATCAGGTGAATGAACAGTTGATCGCAAACTTGCAATGGTCAATGTCTGAGCTTCGAAAATCACACGCTTCACTGCTGCAATCTCACTAAGAGTAGGGCCAACACCAAAGCGCAACTGATTCATCAGATCTGTCACTTGTTCCGTTGAAGGCGCAACACCAGGAGTAGTTACTGCATATGCAAGTCTTCCAAGTCTGTTCAAGTTGTTTCGTCCAAAGGCTTCGACCCATTGTTCATTGAGCCCAGCACGTCTGGCTTGCGTCTCAAACGCCGCAACTGATTCCAACAAGGTGTTGCTTGCCATGAAGCTTCACGAAGGTTCAGCGGGTGGAAACTGAAAATGCACATGTTGAAGACTCCATGAAAACGGTTGCAAACTGTTACAAGATTCAGCGGGTGAGAACTGAAAATGTACATGTTGAAAATTCCACGGAAAAGGTTGCAAACTGATACATCAAGGTGAACATGAGTTGGCGTGAATACCACTCATGATTGAATTCGAAAGCATGCTGGAGCCACGGTCACATATAGACCTGTTGGGACCTGACGACATACCTGAAATCATTGCACAGCAATGCATTCGAGAAATCCAAATTTTCATGCACTCACATGGAACTGTTGCTGCATTCAGACAACGTGACATTCATTTGACTCACACTGTGAATCCATTTGCCGTGCATTCACGGTCATGTGCCCATTAGATTAAAAGCATTGACAACTTGCATTCAAGTCTTGAAAGAAATTTCCGACAAAGCCGGACATCAGGTCCCGCATGTTTTTTGGCCCCAGCTGAGATTCAGACTGATCCATATCAGCGTGATCAGAGTCTTTGACTTGACCCATGCAACTGTGACACATGTTTCCATGACAATGGTGAAACAAAACCTTTCGAAAAACCACAAGTTTCATGAAATCACTTTGCAAAAGTCACTACTGAGCTGTACGCCTGGCATGGATAGCTGCCATCGCTTCTGCCAGCTGATCCGTCTTTGTAATAACTTCACCTTTGAAGCATACAGAGCATCTCGCCCATTTGAAGGAAGCCCCCTGTTCCAGAAACCTGTGGTTGTCACCGAGCCTACGGCCGCACGCAAGGGACCCTGCAACTTTGTTGGGTCTGTGCAGCACTCGACTCTGCTTGTGCTGATACACTGGCTCATTGCAATCTTTCACTTCACCATACAAAGCATACTTCTGTTGCAGTGGCTCTTCCTGTGCAGAGGAACTTGTTGAGCTGCTGCTGGAATCATCAGATGAGGCTCTGGCCGGACTCTCCTGTCGAGCGTCTTGTTCACTGACAGGGCTGCCAACCAGCGACCAACTGCTTTCAGTCAAATCGACCACACCAAGAACATGGTCTGCTTCACTCCGACTCTGAGTGCTGAGTCCCTCAGGGAAGTTCTCCACCTTGACTCTCACACGCATCGGCTCCTCTGAACATGCGGAGGCAACATCGCCTTTGCGTTGGGCAAACCTGCCCGATCTTGTTTCGTCTGGTAGAAAACTGCCTGATCTGATGTTCAGCAGCATCGATTCATACAAGGCCAGCGGGCGACTGAGCATGTCGCGAGAGTAACAAGCCAGGCTCTGAGACTGCAACTCATGATGGCCCAGCAGTGTCCTTGCTGGTTCCTCCAATCCATATTTTGCACACCAAGTGAGTGTTGTGGTCTTCATGCAATGACTCGTCACAACTCTTTCACCTGTAAGCCCCAGAACATGATTGAGAAAATCTCCAATCTCTTCTGAAGATATATGCCTGGTACCAAGCATGCCATTGGTCGGTGGCCTGCATACGGCGCCTATGGGTTTTGCAGTCAAATTGAACTGAACCTGCTTCAGAATGTCAAACCACTCAACAGCCCACAACCTTTCTGTCACCCCTCGTATGGGTGCAACTAGTGGCATCTGCATAGCCCGTTTCAAAGCTGTCGTACTTGTCTTCTGAAACCTTGTTGAACCTTCCACAAAACCCACAAGTCCCAGTTCCGTCTCTGTTGTATCAAGGGTCAAATCACTGAGGAACGCCAGATCTGACCATCTCGACCTGCTGTAAATGGCAAATAAAATGCATCCTGCAATGTACCTGTCAAAAATATTCAAGTCGGATACCAGGAACTCCTCAATGAATTTAACTTCTGAAAGCAGAAGCGGTCTACTCTGTTTGACAGTGTCTCTTGCAGCATCCAAGCGCCTGACACGGCCTGTCAACACGGGGTCGTCGATGATCTCATCCAGCTCTGGCAGTCTCATGACATATTTGCAGAAACGAAGTGCCTCCATCAAAGTTTTACCCTTTGTGCTGCCAGCTCCACCAACATTGGATTCATTGAGATACGCTGCAACATATTCTGGTTTGATTGGCCACACCTGCAGTTTTTTCCTGTCAAGCCAAGAGAACAGTGCCAACATTGTTGAAGCCCTTTTGTTTGCAGTACGACGTGATTTGTTGCCGAAAACATCTCTGAGGGTACCTTCCAGTTCTTTGCCATCGCATACCATGTCTCTGACTGTGGCTCCGACCAAGCCTGCATAGCCGGTACACGCTAGTACCGTGTGCCACTTCTTTAAGGCTTTGGCCCACAGCTCTGAAACTTCAGTAAGATGATCGACATCACGCTTCATCTTGACAACATGTGCAAAAACGTTGTCAGTTCGATCACGTTTCAAAACATTGCTTGGCATGCTAGGCAAAGACTCAGCACCCTGATCAAACTGCTGTGCATCATCAAGTTCAGGTGGTACAGGACACAAACTTAACGGTGATGCAAGAAAACTGTCACTGTTGTCAAAAATGGTTGCAAATACACCTGATTCCCAAGGCAGCTTCTGGCCCGTAGCACGGCTGTTGATGAAGTGGGCTTCCTGCAAGGCACGGTCAATCTGAGATCCAGTCCATGTTTCATGTTGATTCAAAAGTTCAAGTTCTGGTGGATCAGCAGAAATTTCATCATGTAACGCATTGCCATCTGACAAAGTGATTGCATGAGCAGGATTCTGAAAACCTGTATGTGTACGGCTCCAAACTGTCAGTGAGTCCACAACGCTGTCAACATGTGAATTGACTGTAGGAACAGGTTCAGATGTGTCTGTCCCAAGCCCTGAATTGTACAGTTCAACATCGCGAATCACAACATCGAAAAACTCAGCCATACACCACGCAGAACCCCCCTCAGCAAATTTCAAACATGGCGTCGTAAAAAACGCAAAACCCACCTACCCACCTCTTGAACAAAATACTGTGGGAGAAAACATACGTCATTTGCATGAGACATGAGGAAAATGACGACATGACAAGACCACAAAAACAACAAACAGTGGCGTTGCAGCAGATTTGTAAAACCAAATACAGGGTTGGTTAAGACAAAAAACTTTGGTGGTTGAAAAAGAAAGCTTAGCCTGCATTCAGGCACGCACATTTTTAGATTCAGGAAATAAAGAGTTATCACCACGCTGGGTGAAAAGACT